AGAAGAGGAATAGAAAGAAATAAAAGAGAATAGAGGAAAATTGATTTGATAAAAAAATAGATAAAAAATAAAGTGTAATAAAATAAAATTTATAATTATTTAATGATTAAAATTAGATAAAAAAAATAGAGTAAAATTTATATTTAATATGAATAATAATTATATAAACCAAGAGAAAGGTAACCCCAAAAAACAATAGAAAATAGGGACTAACATAGTTGAAACCAAGTTCCACACACTTCTCTACACTCCCTTTCTCTTTTCTACTACTTCCTCTTTGCCAAACATACCATTAAAGAATAAATTGTTCATAAAATTCATTTTTTTCACAAGAATCAACTACGCGGAATGAAAATTATGGAAAATGAGAAAATAAGAAAAACATATAAGGATATTATTGGCATGGCAGGGCAAAAAGGTAAATAAATAATAATTGATTCAATGGTCAGAGCACGACGTAACCGCGTAGATGCATTGTCTATCTTTCTGTCTTAAAACACTTTGAGAAATGTCATGTAGTGCAACTATTTTCAACTCTTCTTTTTCAACTTTCAACCAACATTCAAGCTACCACATTATTTCTTCCATACAAGCTGTATATAATCATTGGCTTTATAATTTCGCCATTCTTCTTGACTTGGTCCAAACTCAAATCACAAGTGGAACATGGAAACTGTGATGTGAGACTGAGATCTCGTACGTGGACAGCTTAATTGATCATGTTCGATTCATGTCTTCAAGAACACAGGTAATTTCACTTCACTTATTTTCTACACAAACTTCTACAGCTTTGTTAATTTCTGATTTGAGAAGTTGTAATGTGTGAGGATTAAGGAACCTTGAACTTACATCAGGAACATGCTAAACACGTGAATAAATGTTATTCTTAATTTATTATTGATTCACCTTAGTTGGTTGGCTGTCTTTAATGACATTTTTTCATAGAGCTATGATGTTGTGTTCATTTTTCCTTGTAAAGAACACTGGCATGTGAATTCGAAAGTATTCTGATGCAACACCGACGTAGTCTCTAGAAGCTTTTTAGTGTCCACACGCGTTTTTCTCAATTTTGATAGCTCAATGAGTCCCTGATGAGTGATAAGAGTCAAAGAAAAGCTTTCCTCAACCTTTCGATATTGATTGTATTGTTTGCCGAAAGCAGAGTTTGGATTGGCATCCACGCCTCATAGTTTACGTTTCTTTCACGAAATTATTCACTGTGCAAGTGTGAAACTAAACTTCCCCCAAGATCTGTTTTTTGAATAGTGGGGTTAGCGAAAGGACCACTTTCTCCTTTTCACACAACTTGAAAACCGTTCCTTGTCATGTGCTCTTTCTTCTCAAGGAATACAAAACTTTTAGAATACTAGTTCATAGGAATAGAAAGGAATTGCTGAAAGCTTGGCTGAAGTGTTTTTTATATTTTTTATATTTCACATGTAGATAATCTTGTTTGAGTCAAATAAAATTATTAAGGACAACAAAGTTTTCACTCGAATATTTAACACATTTGTATATTCAGGATATGAACTCGAAATTGCTGATTAATCGAAAAAGAGTTTTGTACTGGTTGATCTATGTGCTCGTTAATCTTAGCTGAAGAATTTCAAAACAGGAAATAGGTTGTGAGATGCCAGAGTTAATAAAGAAAAATATACTTTCAGGGTATTTAGGAATATTTCTTTCAGAAAACTCAAACAGTTAAAAACAATCATGCACTAAATTAAAACGCATTATTGGTTTTGGTCAAATATTCTTTTTTCTTCCATAGTAAACGATACAATCATAAGTTTTGTATGACCTACATAGTCTAAACCCTCCTATCCTGCAGATCCTAGTTGAGAAGCCCAACTATCATCAGTACCAGAGAAAGTGATTCAGATCAAATCATGTCGAAAATGGAGAGAACATTCCCTCTTGTCTATTTCCAATGCCTTGTTTTCCTTCTCATGAAGCATGTATTGCTACCAAAAACAGTGATGGCAGAACCAAGGGCCAAGACTGTCAATATAACATGCAACCATAAGCTAGAGCACAACACCACCGCCTTTGTTCCAAATTTTGTTGCAACCATGGAGAAGATCAGTGAACAGATGCGTAGCAACGGTTATGGCACAGCAGTTGTAGGGACAGGAGGACCTGACACTAATTATGGGTTGGCTCAGTGCTATGGAGATCTCTCATTACTTGACTGTGTGTTATGTTATGCCGAGGCACGCACGGTTCTTCCCCAATGCTTCCCTTACAATGGTGGTCGCATATACCTTGATGGTTGCTTCATGAGGGCTGAGAACTATAGCTTCTATGATGAGTACACAGGGCCAGGAGACAAGGCTGTTTGCCTTAACATAAGAAAGAAGAACACAAGTTTTCAAGATGCAGCAAAGAAGGCTGTTTTGAGTGCAGTTCAAAATGCACCAAACAATAAAGGGTATGCTAGGGAGGAGATTTCTGTAGCAGGAACAGCAAATGGTTCGGTTTATGTTCTGGCTAATTGTTGGAGGAGTTTGGACACAAGGTCTTGTATAGCTTGTCTTGAGAATGCATCTTCTTCCATATTGGGGTGCTTGCCCTGGTCAGAAGGGCGAGCACTGAACACTGGATGCTTCATGAGGTACTCAGACACAAATTTTCTTAACAAGGAACAAGAAAATGAAAACTCGGAAGGTAAATAAATTGTATTTTTATTCTCTACTGTAACTGAGCATTATGGTAATTTTATGTTAGATACAATCAAAGTCTCACAATATTATAATAAGAGAAAGAACATGAGTTTATAAAGAAATATGTATCTATTGATAAAAGATATTTTGGGTGATGATCAAAAATAAAACCATGAGTTTTAAATACAAAATGAACAATATTATATGTATATGGAGATGTGTGAGTGAACTTTAAGTGAACAATATTTTTTTAGGATCCAGCTTTTAGCATTATGAAAAGTTTACATCAATAGTGGTAAATCCTATGCATAATTTCATTTTTCTGATCTGTGCAGGTAATGTAGTAGTGATATTGATTGCAATAGTCAGTGCAGTGATTGTTTTGGTGGTTGGAATAGCTCTTGTGGTTTATATCCGCCAACGCAGATATATTCAAAAGAAAAGAAGAGGTAAATGTCAAATTTTTTATACATTTGCTTGAAATAAATATGTCAAACACAGAAGTCACATTTTTCCTAATTACAAAGCCGAATAACTTTGTAATTGATCTCATTTTCCTCTTAGTCCTATTTAATAAAATGTGGAACCATCATTCGATTATAGCACAATTGTTTTTAACAAGATCCTTGTCTGAATTGTCATTCTGCTTTCTAGGTTCTAATGATGCAGAAAAGTTAGCTAAGAGCCTTCACCACAATAGCTTGAACTTCAAGTACTCTACACTGGAGAAGGCTACTAATTCTTTTGATGAAACCAACAAGCTTGGACAAGGAGGATTTGGAACGGTTTATAAAGTAATTCTTGCCTCTACATCCCCACCATATTTTACATTCCAAAGCCACTCTTAACAAATTTTTTATTGCAGGGAGTTCTTGCTGATGGAAGAGAGATTGCTATCAAGAGATTATATTTCAACAACAGACATAGAGCAGCAGATTTCTACAATGAAGTCAACATAATTAGTAGTTTGGAACACAAGAATCTAGTCAGACTCTTGGGATGCAGTTGTTCAGGACCTGAAAGCCTGCTTATATATGAATATCTATCTAACAGAAGTCTTGATCGATTCATATTTGGTAATAACTGAACTCATGGAATAGGCTGTTTCCTTTTAGATTTGAAAATCTCTCCATTTCATGGTTGATCATGAAATGTCAACTTAATATATCTTTTTCTGCACATGCTAGATAAGAACAAGGGTAAAGAACTAAACTGGGATAAGAGATATCACATTATCATCGGTACAGCTGAAGGATTGGTTTACCTACATGAGAACTCCAACATTAGGATAATTCACAGAGATATAAAAGCCAGCAACATCTTATTGGATGCAAAACTTCGCGCTAAAATTGCTGATTTTGGTTTGGCCAGGTCCTTTCAAGAAGATAAAAGCCACATTAGTACAGCTATTGCTGGAACTTTGTAAGTATTTCTTATGCCTTTTTCAACAACTAATAATATACTAAAATTGAACAAATTTTAGAAGAAACCAAGCCCTATTATAGAAAATATATTATAGGATGTGTTTCATAAGAAATGTCGTTCTAATAATTTATATATACTAAGAAAAATTAATAAATCAATGAGAGATAATAATAATTTTATAAAGTTAATCTTATGATTAATTTTCTTTGTTATAAACAATGTAACATAATAACCATTTTCTAAAGAATATTATTTGGTGTATAAATAGAAGAAAAAAAATTAATATTACTTTGAAAAATTAACATATAATTTATTTTTTTAACACTACAATTATAATAGGACAGAAATAGTAATTACTATGCGTATTTACATAATGGTGTATATTTCATTTCGTATTTCTCTAAAAGGGGTATTGTAATTATAATGTTACCTTGGTACCTGGGGCTACTATATACTGTACCTTAATAGTGGCATTCTCATTTTTTGTGTGTGTATTTGTGGACCTGCAGGGGTTATATGGCTCCTGAGTACCTAGCACATGGTCAGTTAACAGAGAAAGCAGACGTATATAGCTTTGGAGTGTTACTGCTAGAAATAATTACCGGGAGACAGAACAACAGGAGCAAAGCATTAGAATATTCAGACAGCCTAATAATAATGGTAATATAATATGAGTTAATTTGTTGATGTGTTTAGATAAACTTCTTCAAAAGAATTTTTAAGAGAAAAATAAGAAAGAAAAATGAAATGAGTTTGTTCATAAAATTAAATAAACTTATACATATTAGTATATTACTAATGTGTATAAATTATTTCCTATTAACTTCTCCAAAATCTAATCTTATTTTATGTATAAGCTAGTTTTAGATTTGAAGAAGCTCATTTTCATTTTCTTTCATATTTTTTTTCTCCTAAAAATGTTCTGAAGTAGTTTATTCAAATATATCCTAATTGTTTTTAACCTGTTCATTTCCCTTAGTTAAGACAATATTGCATGGTGAACTGACTTGAATTTCTTGTGACAAAATCAGACATGGAAGCATTTTCAGTCAGGAACTGTGGAACAATTAATTGATCCACATTTAGTGTTGGATGACAACCATGAAAGCAATGTTCAGAATGAGATTTTAAGAGTATTGCACATAGGACTTCTGTGCACCCAAGAAATCCCTTCTTTAAGACCATCAATGTCAAAGGCACTAAAGATGCTGACAAAGAAGGAGGAGCACTTGGAAGCTCCCTCTAATCCACCCTTTGTAGATGAAAGTACCATGGAACTCCATGACCAAAATGATGACCCATTTTACCCTCTCAATGCAGCAGACTCATTGGCTACTATGTCCCATAGCTCATTTTATCCCAGGTAACCAAGAAAATGCAGAGAAAAAGACACTATAACTAAGCAAACTGGCTTCACTTGTGCAAGCCAAATAACATGGACAGGCTTATGCTTATGCCATGGAGATGGAGGTCTCTACCAATGTGTTTGAAATTTTGGATATGTACCATGTGAACTTCATGTCTGCACACAAGGAGAGCTACTACGCCAAATTTTGAAAATGGAAAGCAAATGGTGCATAAACTACATAAATAGGTATGATTTTTTTACTGAAGAAAAATTGAAGATTGTATTACTAATTGACAATTACAAACTCGTGCCTTGATCTGTAAAATGTGTTTTAATAGTAACAAGCTTCACATGGTATGATATAATTTTTTTCATCCGTAGAAATTGCAGTTCAAACATGGTATGATATAGTTGGCATATAATTATTTCTGATAAGTATATGGTTAGTGTTTGATGTTTATATGAAAGAGCATTGAAGGAAGTCAGATCCTTAATTGTATATTAGTATCTCAGAAAAATTATTTTGTGTCTCTTGAGCAGGACTACCCTGAATATACCAAAAAATAATAATGCGCCTGAGCAGGACCACAGACCAAGGGTGAAAAACAAAAACAAGCACAGCAAAAATAATTTTTTATAAAACTTACTCTTCTCTGAAAAGCCATAAATAACTAAACATAACAATAATCTTAATCTAAATCCCTCCATCAATTGCAATGTGAGAATAAGATTAATAAGATGTCAAAACGTAGAAAATAAGAACTTAGTCCTCCTCTTTACTTTCAATGATAACTACATCACTAAGTTTCTTTAATGTACAAATAAAAATTATAATATATTTACCTTCAAATGAAAATCAAAATTACACATTCATTTACTACTAATAAATAAAAATATATTATATTGTATATATTTGAAGTATTTTGATAAATTAATACCAATGATATTATTAGTTTATTAATAAATTATTTTTGTAATACTGATCCATTTACGTTATATTAATTATAAACTTCATTCATATATCAAACAACATATACTTATTATTATTAAATAAACAAACTTATATATATTATTATTATTAATATTATTATTAATTTTTATTATTCATAAATTAATATTAATAACATTATTATAATATTTATAGATGAATTAATAATTTGACAAATATTAGTTAGTATATATTAATATACTTTTAAATAAATATAAACATATACTATATTATATGATATAAATATCGACTATATAATTTATATATTTTAGTTAATAAAAGTTATATTTATATGATATATTTTCAAATTTATTGGAAGGCTTATATCATATATTTTTAGTTAATTTTATTTTAATATATTTATTAAATTATTATTTTATTTATAAATACTCAATAATATTAATATTAATATATTATTAATATTATTAATACTAATAATATATTTACTCAAACTGTCAAGTCTGCATATTATTGAAATGATACTGATATGGCTTTTATAAAGACTTACAAAACTAAAAAAGATAACACGTTCACCAAGCTAAAGAAACGGTGAGACAAACATAATCAAATGTAAACTAAATCCCCATAATCCAGGACATTATTAAAATAAGCAACAACCAATTAAATTGTGATAAAATCTGGTTGACTAAGTCACCAAAACTGATCAGAAACTAATTAAATCCCAACAATGTTTCTATCTTTTAGTTATTTCCAACCTATTCATCCCCTATCTAAAAAAAGTGTCAAATACAAAATTTGCTGATCATAAACGATAGATGATACTACGAACCAAAACAACAATAGCATTCCATTCTTAGAGTCATGACTATGAGTAGTTATTTAACAAGAATACAAGTGAAGCGAATAAATTACACTATCGTTCCCCAATTTTTGCAGGGAAGTAAGCAATATTTCATTGTCAACCCCTTCTGCTTTCAGAATTTACAGAAGAAAATAATTAATCAGGATATACATTTGAGATCGTGAGCCATGCACATGCACACACCTCATTCATCAGTAAGGAACCGACCAGTCAGACCATCCACCATAGAAAACGGCATATTCTCAGATGGTTTCCAGTGACGCTTTCTTTGATTAATAAACCAATTGTTAATTTGTTTCTGGTCTAACCCGGTTGATTTAGCTAGTGCAATCTTATCACCTTCCTGGAAGACCAACCACAAACAAGGCTTTCATTCGTAAGCTTAGACTTGAATTCACTTATTGCCATCAAGCATGCTTCGTAATTTAATTAGGTAATGTAATAATGTTATAAAATTTTACGAACATCAACCATAATCTAGCATCTTTTACTCCAAAGATATGTACCATGTAAATGAAGGTCGAATGACGAATATTTACCGTAGGGTAAGGCCATTTGTAGTGAATATTCCACCACTGTAGTAGTGTCTGCCTAGCGTCTTTCGGCAGCTTACCCCTCTTTTTCTTCTTTGAAAATTCCATTTTCAAAGAACCAATGTGACTTCCAAACTTACGTAAAAGCCTATCCTTAAGCTCTCGATCTTCACCCCGTAATTGATCTTGTGCATCACCATCTCCAGCACTTAAACCTTCTTCTGAAGATACACCTCCATCATCTAGCCAAAATAGAAGCAAAACCAAAGTCATAACTCATAAAAGTAACATGTATCTGTGTGGGTATTATCTTAACTATGAGGGGAAAAAAAAGTGTTTTTTTTAATCTCTTAAGAAACATATTGTTTAATCAAAAGCTGCAACTATGACAACAAAAATGAAAAAACATTATTAATAATAATAAGTATCATATCCTATTTTCACACCCAAAATTGTTAACTTACACATATAGTAATACCAAAATAATTCCAGAACAATACATCTAGCATAAGTTAAGAATAAAATTTATGAACAATACTTCTAGTATAAATTAACAATACGTTGTCAGATATATTTTCTTCAACACATTCAGATGTTCGGCAATCTAAAAATTCATATAAGCTAGCTGGTATTTTAAAAATCAAGTGCTTAAAAGAGTCAATAACATGATCATGTCATTTTAAAACGAAAGCACCACCCACACACCCCACAATTCGTCCTTTTTTAATAAATTTACCACCACTAATAAATATCGATCACTAACCTTTTTCATTTATTTTTTAAAAAAAAGAATGAAATTAATTTTCTATACCAAACCAATCAGTCGTCTTTCGCATTATGTTCTTCTTTTGTTTCTTCTGTAAATCACATCATTAGTCATGAGACAAAAACATTTTTCAAATATGCAAAGAGTTTATTAATCATACTCTCAATGTAAAAAAATAAAATAAAATGTTAATCACTCATAAATCACTGTTTGTATTTTAAAATAATTATTATAAATATCAACAAACTTATTCGTAGTAGAAGTTTGTGATTGAATGATAGTGTGAATGTGCATAGTCCTTTGTATCATAAATAAATTTCTCTCTAAACTAAATTTTAATACATTTTATTTTCTTTCATTTTTTTCACTATACAAACAAGGATTAAAGTATGAAAAGAAAAGAAAAAATCGCTTTTATAAAAGTTGTTTCTTTTTTTTTTTTTTGGTGACACATAATATTTGGAAAGATATTAACAAAAGCATTTATAACTTGATGCATTCTTACCAAGATAGAGAAAATAATAATTCAAAATTTTCATTTTTAATATTTTCTTTTTTCCTTAATTTCTTTGCTTTCATAGTTTGTGATGAAAGAAAAATAAGTGATACATAAAAAAGAATTAAGGGAGAAAAGAAATAATAATTAAAAAAAATACACGAGTTATTTATTTTATCTCTTCATCTATTTTCAATCACTTGTTTATATTTTACCTGTTGCAAATTTATACTTATTAAATCAAGCATCATTTTTGCTCTATTTCCTACATATTTTTATTAACTTTATTATTATTATTCATGTTATTTCTTAAAAGAAACGAATTGTTTAGTGATGAGCCAGCAGGCCACGGGCAGGTAGAAGTTACAGACACCCACCCAATCCGACAAGGATTTGACCACCACATAGGAGTACACTGTACACACCTGACCTAGGTTGGAAGAAATAAACGAAAATGATAAAGAAAATCATCGTCAGAGCCAAGTTCCATCCATTGTCAGTCATCAGTACCAAACGACGAGAGACTCAAAAGTTTACATTGAAGCAAACAAAACGACCTTCCCTAAAACCAAGTATAAAACCATATTATTGACCCTAACTCAGGAGTGAAGACAAACTCGGACACTTTGCTACGGTATAACTACAACCAAAATAGCAAGTGTACGCCTTAATCAATTGAGGGCCCAAACATCCAATTTTTTTCTCTTTTGTCCTCTAAAATCACCGGACAAAATCGGACAAGTGTTCCCATTATTTTCATCAGTAATTATATTTGGAGTATTCATGATAATTCACATAACCATTTATACAATATTATTTTCTTTATGTTTATCTGTCTCCATATCATCTATTGTAATTTAAACGTAATTAGAAGAAAAAATCCGTTAAAAGAGACCAATCAATTTATCCGACAAACATTAATCTCAACAAAATTAATAGATACTAATAGCAGTATGATTATATATATATATAAAAAATGTATTTCCACTCTCCCTTTTTTGTAGAAATAGAAATTATTATACATGTATCCTTTCTTTTATATCGGTGTATCTTTCGTCTGTTGTATCTCACCCTGTACTCTAAATTTAAAATGCTTTATTAGTGTCTTAATACATCAGTTAGACCCAGTAACTTAATCAACTTAGTGTGAGAAATGTCGTATTATATGGATGTCAGTCAATCGCTTAAAATCACATGCCTAAATCACCAGCCTCTTATTAGTGTAAAAAATTATCGGAATAACTAATTTTGTGTAGTAGAAACACCTTTTAAAGGACCAATCTGAATTAAAATAAAATAAAAAAACTTGAGATATCTTGGTAAATTTTCTTCATATGGTGGTCTTCATGCTACAATATGAAATACAAATTCTGAACTCCAGTTCGATGATTTAAGAAAGTGATATCACTGGCTTAATAATAATTCTTGTCCCAATAGTGAAACATCAACTATTTTTTAATGAAAAAAAGAAAATAACTAGATTTGAACTGATGAAGAAAAAAATGGGGTAGAATTAATTTTGAAGGTATAAACTTTAAGCGGAGTGAAGACAATAGATTTGTTTTCCTTACAAGGAGGGGCCCGTTCCCCAAAAAGAAATGGCATTTGGAAATGGACAAGTGTGATGGGTCGTGCAAGATCCAGAGGGGTGAATGAGTGAGAGTGAGAGTGAGACCCACAAGAAGGCAGAAGAGAACAAAATATCCAAGGGAAATGGCAGACGTTATGTTAATGTTACGCAGAAGTGAGCAGTGCGTACTGCGTAGGGAGGGCATAGTGCGTGGGGAAGATCTAAATGGTATTGAACGTCTATCAACATAAAAGCTGCTTTTCATCTCAGCGACAATTGCGGGAGTGCATGTGAAAGTTTTTACTCTTAAGTCACCCGCTGCACACGGGATTTTTCCATTTTTTCTACCTAATTCTCCACACATATAATTACTTATGCTTCAACTAGTCTTCTACATTTATTCCAAAACCCAACAAGCTTTGGAAAAGAGCCATGACCATGACATCAAATTTTTGCAGCATACCTGCGTGACAATTCTTCACCCTATATATTACTTTATTAAATCTCTGAATGCTTAATTTTATAAATGAGAAACGATATAATTTTTTACAAGAAAAAACATTCAAACATCCAGGAGTAAATATTAAACCACGACAGATAAACAACAGGACGTTCTCCGTCCTGCCAGACCTGGGGTTTGTCTAACTCTCCAACGCTAGTTACCCGTAAAAAAACATGTAATGTAACACAACTTGACATTGCCCTGTTGTAATTTATTTTTTTCCCAATAGAACACAGGCACAATATAAGAATAACTGCATAATCCACCAATATAACAAATAAGTACCATCTGTGGATACCATTTCGCAGCATTTCAACAATATGGCAAAACATGTGTATGGCTAAATTATAATTTGCAAAGGTAGGCAGTAATGCTCTAATTCCCTCACGTCCCATGCATCCACCATTTCATATCAAACCATGGATCAGAATCTAATCCCGAAAGAACGGAATCAACAGTCAAACATATCAGAAACAAAGTTAACAATGGGCAAGTTCCTCAGATGCCTAATGAAGGCTAAAACCAGAGTTTCAAGTTAACATGACATATTCAGTAGATACAAGGATTCTAATTGTAACGATATTTAAATCAGATGAAAATGGATTGTTTTTAAGGGGATATATACCGTCAAAACCAGAAGTTGATCCCACATTACACGTTCAAGTAGTTCGTGAATAATAACGAGTGATACAAGTTGAAATACATGACATAAATGCCTACAATGACAATTTCGAAAAGCTACAATTTGGGAAAGAAAAAAAAAAAAAAAAAAAAAAAAAAAAAAAAAAAAAAAAA